AGATCATAAAATTGCTCAGGTTGGAAAAGACCTTAAAGATCATCAAGCCCAATCGCAAGCTAACCATACTACCCTAACTCTAACCACCCTCTGCTAAATCATGCCCCCTGAGCACTGCATCCAAACAGCTTTTAAACACATCCAGGGATGATGGGAAGACAAGGGGGAATGGTCTTAAACTGAGACATAGGAGGTTTAGGTTGGATATTAGGAAGAAGTTTTTCACCCAGAGGGTGGTGAGGCACTGGAACAGGTTGCCCAAGGAGGCTGTGGATGCCCCATCCCTGCAGGCATTCGAGGCCAGGCTGGATGTGGCTCTGGGCAGCCTGGGCTGCTGGTTGGTGACCTGCACACAGCAGGGGGTTGGAACTGGATGAGCATTGAGGTCCTTTGCAACCCAGGCCATTCTATGATCCTACGATTGCATGGTGATGTGTTTGATGCTCTGCTCCCCACTGCCTGCCCTGTGCTGCCCAGCTAACAGGAACATGGAGCCTCAGATCTGCAGAAAGATGCAATGCAAAACACCCAGCAGACAAACAGATTTCCTTCTAGATTTGCATCCTGTGCAAAATCAATAGCAGATCCCATGGGAACAACCGTGCTCTCAGCATCACCTCACTATTCTTCCTCCACCAAAGGCACAAAGCTGGACCCAGCTGCTGCCCTCTGCCCCTTGTTTCAGACCCTGACACAAGCCATTTCTCATTGCAGCGCCCATGGAGTCACCCCGTGTGCCCATCCACACTCGCCCCACTTGGGCTCAGCAGTCCTACAGGCATTTTGGCTGAAGCCATCCCTGGGCCACGCACCTCTGTGAGTTCCCGAGGTAGGTGAGGGGCACTCGATGGCCCTTCTTCCCCTGAGCACCACAGCATCACATCCCCATTACTCCTGGCTACAGCTGCCCCTCCTCAGCGCTGCTCAGCAGAGTTCAGCACATGCACAGAGAGGAGCTTTAGGGCCCCAGGTGCATCCTTTCACTTTATTTTTACAGGAACTCAGACTCCTGCAAGCACGAGGGTGAAGGACTCAGGCCAACAGACAGAGTAAGCCCTGCTCCCCTGGGCACAACCCAGCCATGCCCACTCCCTGCTGCCATAACACACAGCCTGCAGACAACTGCACTGTGCCCACAAGGAGAGAGCTGGGCTCTGGGATGCTGTAAGGGCTTGCATTCACCTCAAAAGTGTGCTTTCTTTTTCCATTTCAGCTGTGGAAATACAGTTTTCAATAAGGTAAGCAATATACACACGATATACAGCCCTGTTCCCACTGCTGCCTCCAGCTGATTTCACAGCATTTGAATGCTGTAGCCCATTTGTTATTTGTCTGTGAACTGAAACAACTCCATGGTCTGAAATACTTCCTCTTTCCTGCAGGAAATCGTGCAGCTCTCTGGTTACCTGAAGGTAGGCACCAGGCACCACGAGCAGCCCTGGAGCAAGAACAACCATACATTATTATCATGATCAGAACAAGGGCTGCTTCCCCACAGGAGGCCCTGCACCGTGAGCTGCTGCTGAAGCAGAAGATGGTGATCCTGCAGGAGCTGCTCGCCACACTGCTGCACGCCTCTGAGAAGTCCTGGCAGGTACAGGCAGCTGGGGGCTTTGCCATGGGGCAGGGACAGACAGACCATGTAACCACAGTCCCATGGAGCTCGCTTTTCTGTGTCTCAGTATAGCACTTTGGAGATGCTACACATGCAGCACTGTCTGCAAAACAAAGTGCTTCTTTTCTCACTATCCCCTTTCTGTTTAGGGCAAGTTGAACACAAGATCAGAGAGACATTGAGGGAACGTATGCTTGAAATTTTTCCCTCTGTCCTTATCAGGAGGTAAAGTGGAGGCAATGCATTTTAGGGCTCATTCTTTAGGGACATAGGAAGCGTTTTATACAGGGTTGTTAAATCAAACGTTAATACAGAGTCCATCATACCATCAGAAAAAGGGTTTGAAAGTTCTGTTAGGGCACAAAAGCAGCGATAGGGCGAGAGAGTGTAAAAAACAAGTGTTAGATGTACTGTGGTTAGAAGCTTCCGCCTTCGCTTGCTTCTTCAAACATAATGCAGGAGGAAAAAACACCGACATGCTGCATGAAGTAGCCATGAAACCTCAGATTAGAAACAGGTGGGCGCACTTTGCTTCTTGCTGTCTCTGCTGCAGAAGGGAGGCTTCCCTCTGCCTTTCACTGGGGGCTACGAATTAAACAAATTCACTCACTGCTGGCACCGCAGGCACAGAGCAAAGCAGGCAGCACCATGCTGGGAAGGGGCAAGGGACAGGAGATGCTGTGGGTGGGTTTGGATGTCCCTTGTATGCTGTGGCAGCTTTAAATTCCTCTCAGTATTTGAGGTTTTAAAGACCTGGGGCTGCAGGTACATGGGTGATCTGGCAGCAACTCTTGAAGCGATCAGAGTGATTTAAGGTCACAGATGCTTCTAGTTTGAAAGAGCAGCTGCACGCCGTGCAGGAGGATGGGAGCATTGCAGTGCTGTGGGGATCAGCCCCCTGGATCCCCCCATGGTTTTACCTCCAGATGGAGACTCTCCTGCCACAGCTCTGACACTCAGCTCTTGTCTGTTGTAAAACTGATGGATTCAAAAGTACCAGCAGGCATAGAAAACACAGTCTTTCCTATGGCTGTTAAATTACTTTAGAGCTGTTCTCTTCTTAAAAATTATTTCTTTAATACATTTGCTTCCATTTCTACCTTCTGAAGTTGAACCCAACGCTTAGAAGTGCCTTACAGCCCCGTAGAATCTAAGCTCTGCCACATCCCATGCTTTACTGTGATTTCATGGACCCATTTTCCTGGCACAAGCATTGTGTTTGTGCAAAGTGGAAGCCCTCCAGAAAAAGCAGTTATTGCTTTACACCAGCTATTCCAAATGGCTCACCAAGGAGTACTGGAAACAGTTCATCAGCCACAGGACAACAACAGCTGCCAGACAGAAGAGTTTTAAAGTCACTGAAGTGGCAGTCGTGGAGAAACACAGCAGCAGAGTTTTCAAGCAAAAAGTTTGGAGCTGCTCAGCCTGGTAACTTCAGAGTTGAGGATGAGGACTATCAAGGGTTCCAATCCAGCATCTACAAGAGTGGACACTTTTTGAACCCATTAACCTCAGCCCTCTCCCCTACCTGGAGTTTTGCCCCTGGGCTCCTGGTGCCCCTGGGCACCAGGACTCTGAGTGATGATCAAAAATCACCAGAGAGGAGAGGAAAGACCATCCGACAGTGATAGCTGTAGGGTTTGGTTGCTGTGTGGTGGTTTGCTTTTTTTTTAAGCTGGCCCCTTTCATGTCAATAACCATCAGCACAAAGACTTGGCCAGGATGAGCTCACGTAACTTTTCTGGTCAGAAGCACAACTACTTCTGCCCTCCCACGTATCTGCACAAACCCACTTGGTCTGGTAACAGGCAGTTTATTCCCTATAGGGAAATCTCAGCCCCGTATGTTCTTCTGCCAACTTATAAACTGCGTCTCCATAAAAGCAGCCTGCCAGCACATTTCTGCTATACAGCGTAGGAAGGGGCCGGTGCTCTGCTGCCCTGTACTCTGCACAGTGCACAGCAACCATGAAACACCACTGCCCTCCTTTGTAAGCCTCCGCATACAGCAGAACAAATGAACCACAAAGGAAAGACAGGCATAATATTTCATATTTTAAAATGCTTTGCAATATGCCACCTACTTTCTAAGGGGACATAGCCCTGAGGCTATTTTTGTACTGACAACCGAACTGGGAAGCTTTATTCTTTGGGACTGTAAACTTATTCCTGTGCCAATTTAAACAGCGCTAAGACACCAGAGAGTCAGGTTTGGCTTGGGTCTGACAGCTCTTCCCCAAACATCAAGGAGCTGCTTATTCAAAAGCCCAGCTTCAAACACCAGCAAGCAGAAACAATAACGATGCTCTCAGTATCAGTAGTGAAAAAAACAGCATATGTGAACTCTGCTAGAAATTGAATCTGAATTTGCATGCAGTCTGGTTTCACAAAACCTAAGGAAAAAGCTCAGCAAACACCGAGATGATAACAGGAAAAATGAATCCTTGTTGTTGTCGTCCATCCTCCTGCCCGGCTTCTCAGTGTCACAATGCAGACCTGATCCGTTTCCCATGCAAGCTGCAGGATGAGAGCTCAGCACTGCAGAAGCCATCAGCTGGGACTCTCAGCCCTGTGGCCAGGCAGCAGTTCTACCTCAGGATCTCACATGTAAAGGTTTAACTTCCCCCACAACCCACTTATTCCGAGACTGAAGTCTTACTGGAACTCTAAGCACTGAAATACTTTGACCAAATTTAAACACAATATTATAGAAGAAAATGAACAAGATACAAACTAACAGTGTTGGAGGCACAATGTGTAAATCGTGATTGCATACACTGGTCCAATTGTTTTTCTCCAGGGTCAGCTGAATGAAGATAAACTCAAGTGTAAACTGAGGGCCCTGGAAAATCAGCTGCAGGCCTGCACCCAGGTAAGGTCTGATTGTCAGAGCAACAAGCAAGGCTGAAGAAAGGCATGAAAAACTGAATCATGTAATTGGGTCAGGTCTCAGTTTCCAGAGTAATCTGATTAGATACGGATCTGAAAAGTATTTTTCCTCTTTGCTGAAGCAATATTTCACAGCAAATTAGCAGTTGCATTTACACAGTATGGATTTGCTAATATTCAGTCTTAGCAAGATTAGGAATATATCAGATAAAACCCCTCAAGCACTCTAATTCTTCCTTTAAAGAGTTACTCAAAGGAGTGTGTGAAGAAGATCCTGATAGAGATGGAGGACCAGAAGCAGACCTATGAGCAGAAGGCAAAGGAGGCTCTGCAGAAAATGCTCGAGGACAAACTCCAGGCAGAGCAGCAGCTGCAAAACTCTCAGGTAAGAAACACGTTTGACACCTGGCTTTGCATCTCATCCAGCTCCTTTATTTCAGGGAAAGGCAACAACCAGTTTACTGTCTGTAAAGGTGCAAAATTACTTTTTTTTTTTTTTTTTTTTTTTTTTTTTTTTAAATGCTACCACGCAAAGTCCAAAGGTAACGACAACCTGTGCTCATTTTATGCTGTTTGTAATAACCTGGAGCTGGGCTCATATCTGCTTCTATTAGAGGTGCCTGGCTGCGGTGAGGGAGGACCTTGCCTTCTGGAAGGAGCACTACACCATGCTCAAATCCGAGTGGGCCCAGATGGCCAAGGCACACAGCGAGCTCAAGAGCAACCTTCACACCCTGCAAAGCCAGCTGCAGGTACATCAGACCCCCATGGGAGCAGCGCCGTGGCCCAAGGGAGCCCATGTTTTCTGATTTGCAAACAGCCCACAGGCTGAGATCATTTCACACAAAAGCCCTTTGGTGAAGTTGCTGTTACTGCACACCCAGTCCTTGCTTCTCACCACAGCACACGGCTACAAGGAATGAGGAGCTCTGCCAGGCCCTGGACTTCCTGCAGCACGAGCATGCCGAGCTCCAGCAGCATGCTGACAGCCTGCAGCAGGACAACCAGCTCCAAGCCAAGCGTATCTGCAACATCGAAGGTACCACTCCTTCAGGGAAGGGCAGAAAGCAAGGACATAATCTGAAAGCCCTGGTTCTTGGAGCCTAGTACACCCAAAGCAATCTGTATCTGAATGCATTGCATAACCTCAGCCTACTGAGAGCCTTTGGTTTCCAAAGGGTCCCAAATTAAAGATTAAAAGGGTTTCAGAAAGAAGGGTGGAATGGGAAACTTCCATACCTGCATGCAGATATTTGCATGAACACTGGTTTTCTTATTATTTCAGGTAAATTGCAAAAAGAGCAAAATCAGAAGCTAATATTGGAGGCAACAATCAGCCACCTGCACAGTGAGTAACACAAAGAAGTACAATGTGAAAGCTTTGCATTACTGCTGTAGCAATGACAGCGTCTTGTTTTGTCCTCAGACCTGATGCAGAACCAGACCAATGAGCAGAAAACACAGGAAGTGGTGGTGCAAAGGAAAGGTCAGCAAACTTTCTAGCTTCCACTTAAAGCTGCTCTAACTTGACATGGGAATGTCAGAAGTGACTCCAGGAGAGGAGAAGTCTGTATTTCTTTAGAATAAAGGATTATATTAAAGCTACACAAAACTAGTTACGATTCTATGATTATATTTTGGTAGTTAACATTAAAAGACAAGTTTATTTTTGAGGCAGATACTTTACAAAAAAATAAATGGTTTTCATTCCAAGTTCTTTTTCAGTGGCTATGCCATTTTGAAAAAAAAAAAATCAGCTTGTAGCTGCAATTACAGCTGTACTTCTGTACTTAAAGAAAGCAGTAAAAGAAACTTAAGCTCTTCCTCCCTTCCATTGCCACTCCCTTCCATTGGTAAGTGCTTAAAAACATTTCTCTAAAGACTATCAGCTTGCATCTACAGGAGAGGCAAGCCTATGATAACTGAGCTCCTCTCTGTACATAGCTTGCAAATATTATCTTCAAACTATGCTGAGTAGAGAAGCTACAAAACAAACTGGAGGTCAAGATGTGTTTCTCACCAGCAGCCTGACTGTTTTCTAGATCAGGTTTTCACCATGCAGAACCCACCTCTCACTCCTGCCAAGGAAATGCAAAATGCAATGTCTGAGCATCCCAAGGAGAAGGCAGAAGAAAACCTGAGGGATGAGATGCAGGAAAGGACATCCCAGCTTACAGCAAAGGAGAAAGAGGTGAGGAAGTTGCTGCTGGGACAGCAACCATATCAGGGATTGAGATGCCTTTTAGGTGCTCTCAGGAGCATAGAAAAACAGCACATTAAAGCTCCTGGAGGCAGCCAGAGCTGCAGGCTGCACCTGGGATCCACCAAAAGGATTTACTCTGCTTTATTTCTGTTCTGATACCAGCCTTAGATGAAGCTCACAGTTTCTGCTGGCAGGGACAGGGCATCAAGCAGCCGTGTCTAGAACTACTGCTTCAGACAAACCCATTTCTGTTCACAGGAAAAAAGATAAAGCCACTCTTGAAGAGCCAAAGCCTTAGGCGTAAAGGAAGCATGGGAGGGGGAGGTAGGAAGGCTCATAAATAAATAACAACAGAAAAAACCCTGTAACATCTGACCAAAAAGCCCTCAGTTTTCTGACCTTCTGCAAGGTGCTTACCATATAAGCAATTATTTCAGGACAAAAAACCAGTAGCACAAACTTTTCTCTGCACACCAACAGTCTCACACATCTTACTGCAGAACTCATAACAGGGACTTATAAAAATAAGATCCATGACTTACCAGAGCTGAGGAACACACCAAGACCTGTTCCACTAACTCCTCCAGGACTGTGCCCACATCACCTGGGGAAGGGGCTTAGCTGAGTGTAATCACAGCAAAAGGGAACAGCTGTGGGTGCCAGCTGCATTGGCTCGCAAAGAAGGACATGAACCCTGATGTTCCACCCCACATCTTTTTCCTGATTTGTATGTGGTCAGAAGAAGTGGTTATTTTTTTTTTCTTTCTTTTCTTTCACATAATGTGAAAGATGGCAGTAGAAGCAAGCAGATCACAAGATGGGAGCAGCCAGGGCACTGTCTGGGCCCCCACCTAACACTGAAACCTGCTCTATCTTATGTAGGTACGTAAGGGCACACGAGCAGCAGAAGGGGAAATCCCCCCTTGTCCCACTGCCCACACACAGGTGAAGCACCATAGCTGCTGCGGGAGCCCTGCCTTTTCTGGGGTGTCTGAAGCCACAGGGCTCCCTCCTGCTGACCCCTGCCTCCATTCCCCCTCCTCCAAGTGCCAGGAGCTGCGTGCAGAGCTGGAGGCACTAAGTGAGGAGTACCGCTGCTGCCTGAGCTGCCTGCGCCAGTGCCGCCAGGAGCTCAACCAAAGCCAGATGGTGAAGGTGGGACCGACCCTCACCCCTTCCTTGTGGCAGCTGCACATCACCCTGGGAAACACTCCTTTATTTGGGGGCAGTGTGGAAGGATGAGCAGCATGCCTGTTAGGGATGGGAGAGAGGTTTCTTCTCCCCATCTCCTCCTGGTTGCATTTGCTTCCTTTTGCAGAGACAACGCGGTAACTGGCTCCCTCTTCTGCTGGCAGTGATAGCAATAGCCACGGCTGCTGTGCTGGCCAGCTACAGGCCATGAGCACCTCCTCAGTGACCTCCGTGCACAACTGACTCCTGACCTGCTGGCAGCAACCTGCCCTCACTGCGGTGCTTCTTCTGCCGCTCCTTGCCTGCTTCATACCCCAAGCTGGTCTCGGCCAGAAAAACTGACATGGCTCCAATAAATGTGGGGAGATCACCCTTCTCTTCCATGTGAGTTATTCTTTAACTGAGGGTTGCACTGCTTGGTCCCTGCACAAAGCCATTCAAATGGCATCTCTCGGACTCATGGGGGCAGCAAGGATCGTGTGTCCCATGCATTTGGGAGCCAAGCTGTGTGCATATAGAGAAACAACAATGCAATTCCCTTCATTTATCATTTCAATGCATGGGAAATATTCCACCCTACACCATCTTTTCTGGCATCCAGCAATAAAACTGCATACCACCCAAGCTGAGCACCCTTCACACCATCTGCCCAGCCCAGGCTCAGCCATACCCCAGCTTCCCTCGTGGCCAAGCACCCTCAGCCATGTCTGCTTCTCTTTCATGTTCAGCACACTACTTTGGCAGAGCCAGGTTTTCCCACCCATCAGAGCTGTGCAGGCTTTATGGCAGCGCTTGTCCCTTGCTAAGCATGGGCTCAGACACGAGGTGTGACACCACATCACACACGCAATAAAGAGCCTACAACAAACTTCACAAACTAAGAATACTGCTGTGTTAGCATTTTTTATTAATCCTCAGTCGTTCACAGCAAATAAATACACACAATAACACACTCCACAGTCAGGATCCAGGCTGTGGAGCTGCTCTGTTTGTTCATCCACATACTTGGGACACGCATGGACTTGATCCACACCTGGCCTGGTCAGGCCCAAACCCATCTGGTTCTTGCTCGGGGCCTCCTAGAATTGCCTCAGTGGGTTCCCCACCTCACTCCCTGAGGCACCTGAGGAACAGGATGAAAAGCCAGTGTTTGTCCATCTGTCACAAGGCAACTGCTGGCAGCAACACCACCTCACTGGAAATGCAGAGATCAATGAAGTCGCTCTGTGCACAGAAGTCATCCCTCAGCTCTTTGCTCCAGGCGTCCAGCACCTCTTGCAGCTCCCCGCAGAGGCTCTCAGGGATACTGAAGGAGCAGATCTGCACCTGGAGCCCTCCCTGTATCCTGGGGCAGGAGGCCCGGGCCGTGAACACCCTGAGTGGCGTCAGCGCCAGGCAGTTCTCCGCACCCTCCTCCACAGGGAAGGTGTAGGCTGCCGGATAGCCCAGCAGCACCCCGAACACGGTGCAGAGATTCCAACCCGTGGCCACGACCTCACTGCAGGACACGGGGCTGTCTGCAGCCTCCTCGGCAGCCACGAGGTGGGCCAGGAGGGCCTCCACGTGTTCCCTGACGGCCGCAGCTTCAGCTGAGCCGCAGAGCGCAGGACCGGACCGCGCCGCCGCCACGTCAATGAAAGGCCCGGGGCGGGCACGGAGCGCGGCCTCCAGCTGTCGCCGAGCGCGGCCCGGGTGCAGCAGCAGCACCTCGCCCCCCACGCCCAGCAGGTGCAGGCGGCCCAGGCCCAGCCCGGCCTCCCGCAGCCGCTCCACGTAACGCCGCAGCTCGGCGGGCCCCGCCGCCCCGCAGTCGTACAGCAGCGCCGGCTTCAGCCCCGCCGCCACCGCCAGCACCTCTCCGGCCAGCTGCAGGGCGCGGGCCGCCGCCAGCCGCCGCCCGGACCCGGCCCCCAGCGCCTGCCGAGCCGCCGCCACCAGCTGCGGGGCGGGCAGAACGGCCTGCGCATCGCCGCGGCCCTTGGGGCCCATGGCCGAGCCCCGGCCCAGAGTAGCGGCGCACCCAGCGCCCGCTGCTTCCGGTCCGGCCACAGCGCCACGCGACGCCGGGGCGGAACGGCCTATGGCGGCGGGGCAGGCCTCACTGAGGCGGTGCTGAACGCGAAAGAAGGCGGAGCGGAGCGATGCTGGAGCTCAGAGCTCCCCCTGCCTTTAGGCGTTATTCTAACGCACTCGCGGAGAGAGACGTGAAATAGAAAGCACAGCGGGGGGAACGTGAGCTTGCCTGGGAGCTTGGAGCTGTCAGAGGCTGGTTAAACAGAAATAAAATAAGGCGAGATAACGTTAAGGCAATTTTAATAGAGTACAGATTAGTTTTTCCTCTCTCCCACTCAAATCTTTATATACAGGATGTCAGTATTTGGTTTAAAAAATATTACAGAATTACAGATCTGATTTATACATAGTGGTGGGTTAAGCAAGCAGCTAAAAACAGTGACGGAGCTAGAAGCATTCCTTATTCCCTTTATTTATAACACTCTCCCAAGAAAAGTACCATGAGACTGTGGAAATTCAATCAGAAAACCAGATTTACAGATTTCTTTCAGGTTCAGGCAAGGCACTTATCAAAGTTTTCTTATATACACATGAGAGGGAACAGCACAGGAGGATCAAGTGCCTGTCACTGTGCGGGCAGCGGCTGTGCCATGTGCATGGTAGGGGCCTGCATCGGCCACCCCTCCTGGTGGGTCTGCAACAGGCGGTACAGCTGCTTCAGGTGAGCCACAATGTTGTCCTTGATGTCAGGAGTAGAGATCTGGAGCCGCACGCTGCCACTGTCAAAGGAGCGCGTGAAGTCACCGGAAAACATCTCGTATATCATCCGGGCCACAACAGGGATGACCTGTTGAAGAAATCCATCATTTCAGCCTAGCCGTCACACAGTACATTTCTGTTCCTCGGCAAGGACTCCTTGCCAGAGAAGGTTCCCTGCAGGATAGTTTCCACAGACACCTAAAGCACTCTCGCAGCTCAATGCTATTTGGCAAAAGAGCATCTGCATATGCTGTGACAAAATCCAGCAGCCCTGTTGGGATTTCCCCCTGCCAGTGGTCACAGAAGAGAACAACAGTACTCTGGTTCCTGTGGGTATCAATCTAGAGCCAGTGCATTGCCCCAGCAGGGTTATCACATGTCCAAGGCCTTCATTCCTACCTGAACCACGATCAGCTTTCTCTCCCGAGGTTTTCCATCAGGCCACTCTTCCCCAAAACAGAAATAGATCTCAAATGGTGGCTGTTTCTCAATTTGTCCTTTCTGGTGGGCAATCAGCTCTAAGAAGAAAAGCAGAATGCTGCAGGTTTGTCCACTTTTTGGATAGGAATGCTTACCATGTCCCACCCACATTGTGCCAGGTCTCAACTATGCTCCCTTGCCAGAGCTGCTTCTTGCATATCCACAATTACAGCCTGATTCTTGAATACACAAAAGCTTTCTTTAAAAGCAAACCCACCAACAGCTCAGAGCATTAAATAAGCCACTCCACAGTCCATCAAGGTTAGGGGAAGCAAGGACAATTACTCATGCTCCATGCATATGCAAACTAATTAGCACATTCAAACCAAACCCCAAGGACAGACCGCCCTTTCAGATAACGTCACCAGGATCCAAAGTTATCTTCCAGAAGCAGAAGCTACCTACCACTTAAGAACGTCTCCAAACAGAAGAGTTTGACTTTCTTTTGCCTCTCAATCAAATTTGGTGTAGTGGCAGAAGGTGCACAGGGACCGGACCAGTACACCTTGCACTGGCAGAGCCGCACAGCGTAGATGGCGTGGCCACTGACCTCCAGGATCAGTCCCCTGTCCATAACATCCAGCAGCCGACTGGTGAAGATCTTTTGCTTTTCATTGGTGATTTGCTCTGTTCCTGGAAACCTTACTTGCTCCAAATTAATTGGCCCAAAGAGCTCTTCCTGGTCTGGCATAGGACCCAGCTCTCCGTAGAACAGTCTGCATCCCTGCGGGTTGCTCACAGTTGTTGTCTGCCCAGTCTCCTTTCCTCGATATTCGAACTTGATTTCTAGGTCTGTCACTGAGAGAAACTGTCAGTAGGACTTTTCCTGGACGTCTGCACATACATCAGCAGTAGAGACATATCGCACAATACAAACTAGGCTTCCAGGGATGTTTTAGCTATACACAGATGCTAACAAGCAAAAAGGATTAAAAAATGGTTTTGACTTTTTAAGAACAATGACAGAAGCACTACAAACCCATGAACGTACTTGGAAGAGAGCTGATCCAGAGCTCCGGGCTGCTGAAGAAGTCATGCTGCAAAGCAGTCGGGGGCATCTCCATATCCAGAGGTTCATTCTTTGGCCACACAGCTTCAGGGCTGCAGTTCTCTGCGCTGGCTGGAGCCATCGGAGAATCTACAGAAGGGAATTGATTCTTTCCTAAGCCAAGCCTTAATTTCAAGCATGCGCCAATATACAAGCAAATAACTTCACTATTACATTACAGCCTATGGTACCAACCATTGATATTAAGAAATGGAAATGTCTCTTGAATAGGGACATGCTGAGATGGATTCAATTCTTCCTCTTCATCCTCATCAAGATCATTTTCCTTCTCATCCCATGGAGCTGAGCCAGTGGAACCTGCAAACAAGCACAAAGTGGGCAGACAATGGGTATGAAACACTGCAGGGCATTTCTTGGGAAAAAAAAAATAATGTAGTTTTCATATTGACTTTGCACAATATCAAAAGTTTATTTCTGATAATAAGTTAAACAAAGAAAATCTCATCTGTACAACATTTTCAGCTTAATACCTGCTTTTACAAAGCTGAGGGTACAGAAACTATCGATAACTTTGGATTTTCTTCAGCACAAAGCATGCTACTGTGTGAAGACGTATTAATTTTAGTACAGGCATTCTATGGCTCAAAGTCCTCTTCAGGTGCAGCTGGGCTTACAGCAGCTGCCAGGCGCTGCACACAAAGGCAGCTCGGGAGTTAATGCCACGCAGGGAAAGGTGCACGCATTGGACAAACGCCTGCTCAGTAACCAGCTCTGTACCAACAAGGCCCTCACCTGGATTAATGATTGATCCCTGGGACTGCGGGATATCGCACACTTCATAGATTTTCACAGGATTCATGGGCACCTCCTTGGTGCCATCATACATCAAATTGAACTCCCGGCTTTTGTTAAGAGCACATCGGAGCTGGGCTTTCCATTTTGCAGGGTCTGGCTCGTCGACTCCTTCCTGGTATTTTCCTGTTTCCACAGCCCATGCCTGGGGACAAAGTACAGCACGGTGCTCAGTCCAGCCCTCACAACAGAGCTAATTTTATCAGAAATAAAGCTCAGAAACAAATTTAGTGTGAAAATCCTCTTCTGCAGAAGCCTTAACCACAGCTCTTCTGATAACGGCAGCAGACGTTCCCTCCTTAATAGCTTTTTCCATTAAAAGGAGAAGATAAAAATAAATGCATGAAGATGCATGCTCTGAATGTACAAGTTAAGTACCAACCACACAGGATTGTGCACTCTCTCTGGCTGTCTCAGCTGTGATACCAGAAACCATTTCTGCTGTCTGGAAGCATCTCCTGTGCAGGGGATGGATTTGGTTACAGCAGCGTGGAGCAGCCCCAGCATCAGAGCATCAGTCATCCATTGACCAGGCAACCATACATCACCAGGCCTGTCGTGGTCTGCAAGGGTTAAAGAACTGTACACCTCTCCAGCGCAGTGCCAAGCTTGGCACAGAGCACCAAGGTGCACAGAGTGGCATTTCAAAGAGCCAAGAAAGAGAACAAAACGCACCTGGAATCTGTTACTGAAACGCCTATAGAGCTGTGGGGACAACAATTCGGCCCTTTGTGTAACCAAGCTTCTCCCTCCCTCACCTTGAAGATGGTGTTCTCCTCCTCGTGCTGCGGGCTGTGCCGGGTCGCGTGCTTCCAGGGGATCTGGAACCTCTTGGCTTCTCGGTTCAGCCAGATGAGGCCGGGGTACATCCCACTGTCCACCTGGGCCACCAGCCACGGCTTCAGGCGCACCCTGCGCGGGTGTAACGCCATTGTCTAAGACAGACAGAGGTGAGAGCAGACCAACTGCAGCAGGTTAGTTTGATTTCTCTTGTTTACAAAGTGGACTTCACGAAAAAGCACCCTATGGGGTGCTACTGCTATCAGTTGTTGTTAGTGCACACTGAAATCACTGACTCAGCTAGCGACTGTTCTACAGGAGGAGCTACAAACGGGTCACTAAGCAGAGACTGTAAGTATTTCTAGAACAACAACTTGGTAAATATTCCATTCAGTAGAGATGTACGTTATTTGTGTTAATTGGGAAGGCTGAGCCCCAGCCAAGCCCGAGCTGGAAATGCTGCACAGGAGATAAAGCCACCAGCAAGCCACAGCAAGAACTGACATTGGAATTCCAGAAGCCTCCACGTACCCCTCACTGAATGGGACTCTCACTTAGTTTTCCTTCAGTCCTGTCAGTCTCACCTTAGAGAGACAAAGCTAAGGGGCCAAACCTGAAGTTTCTGCCCCAGCTGAGGTATAGGAGGAATCATCAGCAAGGACAGGACTGCTTTATAAGAGATGGGCTTTCCTCCAGAAGTCATTTCACGTCTGTCCTCAAGTTCCTCAGTGCAGCAGAATCATCTGCAAACATCACTGCAAGGTGCTGACCTGTAGTAACTGCAGTGTTTATCCAGGAGGACACGAACTGCAAGTCCACGCTCATGCTAGAAATCAAGTCATGCTGCCTTAACGGTTTGTTAAGAAAACAAAACTGCAGTTAAACTACAAATCGGATGCCTTAAGTACTGTCTTGTTGCTGCTACATTCGTAACCAGCAATATTCTTCTTCATCAGAACAGACAAAGCCAAAGAGAGTTAACAACTGCCCCCTCTGCAAGAAAAGGCAGCATTTAGCATCTTTTGGGAGGAGGGATTCATGCTACACGTGTTAGAAGGCATATCTCACACATTCATTCTGAGAATTGTATAACAGTGAGGAAAAAATGGCAATTTTCCCATTGATAAAGCAAATACAAATCCTTCACCATGAGCCCCAGACACTGCTACTGGAGTTGCAAAATGAGTCTAGCAGCAGAGATAGAGGAGATGATAAAGCCTATCCAAGAACTAGCTCAGGAACACGTTTTATTTGTTCAAATACTTGCAAGTGTTCACACAAAATTAATCTGAACGCAGCTTATTTTATCTGTTAAGCAAAGAAATTGTCCTGATTTCACTGCAAATCCTGTTTAAATAGTACTTGGAAAACGTGCTTAGCCAAGGACCCAGGCATATTAGCAGATATATCTCCAGGTGCTGCAAAAGATCAGAAAGGAATCCTCAACATTATTTTTATGCTTCTGAAAGCTGCTCTATCAGTTATCTGTACACAAAATCCCATCAGAATTAAACACTCCACAAAGTGTTTGCAAAATCACAAAGCCCAGGTTAATTCTGGGCTTAGAATTGAGACAAAAACAACAAAAGTCAGGTCTTGATCTCACATGCAAAGGGAAAATCAGTGATTTCTCCTTGGAACAAGGAAATCCTAACCGAAGCTTGTTTCTGCAACTTCTCATGCATTTAACTTTACTACAAGCAGCCTCTCTGCCTCTAGTAACACACACATCTGCAAAGCCAAGATGGAACAGAAACCCATACGCACCACAGAGAAAAATTCATGCCTGCCTTTCATAGAAAACGAATTCAGTCACGTGCACAGAGCATTGGCACTGCCCATTAGGATCAAACTGTCCCCTGGGTGACAGCCAGCCCCTGTCAATACCAGACGTTACAATGCTTTATGACCTTTTATCACCAATGACTTGTTGACACACTACGAGAGCAAACCAACTTGAATCCACTGCAGCAGACAGTGACTCAGCCCCTCACAGCCTTCAACTTCCAGCCCAAGAATCCGCGACCACCGGGCGCTGCGAGGGCAAAATGTTACCCAGCAAGAGCTCACGGGGGGCTGGAAAACGAACAAACACCTCACAGCCCAGCAGCGAAAGTCAGAGCCAGCCACAGTCGATTTCAGTGACCCTCAGCACAGCTGTCAGCCAACGTAACAGCACGCAGCACCACGCTGCATAGGGGCTGCTCTGGGTCAGGGTGAATAGCCCGTGTGCCCCGAGCTGAAGGATGCTCCGTGCCCCTCCTGCCTCCCTCCTGCACGCCTCTCCCCATAGCGTTGCAGCCCACGGGTTTTCCCAGCTGCAGCGCTTTCAGGCTCTGCCAGCACCGCCAACACTCAGCACCTTCCCAACCAGCTCACAGCCTCTAAGCAAGGAAGGGGCGTTCTCTGGGTGCAGCTTTGCAGTACCACGGGCTGCCACCTCGTTCCTCACTTGTTACCTTTGATGACATTCTCGTGCATCTGGTGGATTTTTTTTTTTCCTTCCCAAAGGCAAGCAGCTCAACCCTCGTATCAGTATTCCCACCGACAAACACGCTGAACTTTCATCCACTTAGCTGACACTCCACCACCCCCCCGCACGGGGAACCTACGGCTCCCACATCTCGCAGCTTTGTACATCACCGCTTCCCCAAAGCCCCACAGCCCCTCGCTGCGGCCATTAACCCTTTCAGCACCATTAACCCTCGCGATTCCCACGACAGAGACGAAAGGAAGGGGCCTCCCAGGTGCCGGGTCTCATAGCTGTGCTATGGGAACAGCCGTCGCGGCACGGGGGGACGAGAGCCACTCCGTCCTGCCTTCGGGCTTCGCTCCTGCTGACTTCAAAGACATCGCTTAAGGCTAACGGCAGCACGACCCGTGCGAGCAGACAGAGAAGGCAATAAACGGACACGGGCCGGGCAGTCCCCTCCCCTTACAGCCCGGAACGGGCCGGGCAGGAACACCACGGGACGCCTCCCGGCGCCGCCTCGCACAGAGCCGAATCCTCTCCCCCATCGGCCGCCTTCCAGCTCCGTCACGGCCCCGCGCCCCGACCCGCTCCGCCGGAACCCCGCACCAAGCGAGTCCCGAGAGCGGCCCCGCACCGCCTGGCCCCGCCGCACAGTTGGATCCCGCGCCACTCACCGCTCCGCTCCGCCGGGGGTTGCCGCGCCGAGGCAGGGGCCGCTCCGCTCCGCGCCCCGGGGCTCTCCGCCGCCCCGCGGGGCCCGCGCGTGGGCGCAGCGGCGGGGCGGCGCCGGCGGA